TATGATACTTTGTGAGAGGATATCCAAAAGGCTACTAATCAAGAAGAATTAAATGTTTTAAACGACCGCATAAACGAGTTAAATTACGGCAATTTGCCACCGGAAAAAAAACAAGTTTTTCTGGAAGCACTTCAAAAAAATCAACGAGTAAAAATTTGACAAGACATGGCCATTGAGGATGTAGAAAATTACTGAATAGAACAAGCGGGTATTAACGGTTTAATAGATGGAAAACCTAAACGAGATATATTGCTTGACAATTGACAAAAACTTATTCGCGACCAAACTGCTGAAGGCCAAATCAACCAGCAACGCGATATCTTGAAAGGTTTAATCACTAATGCCAAAAATGAGGAAAAGCGAAAAATTGCTATGATGAAAAATTCGGTCATTAAGGGAATTAATGAACTTTGAAGTAAAAATGAAAAGAATGGGAAAATCAATAACAAAAACCAAAATGATATTCTTGGTTCCAATTGACAAAATGATATCAAAATCTTAAATTCTGTTGAGAAAATTAACGAAAAGAATGGTTACTTTATTAATTTAATCAAAAAAGCCATCGAGGGACAGGGGCAGAAAAAGAATTTAGTCAATTTTCCTTTTTTGGGGGGAAAAGGAAAAACAATAGAAGAAGAATGAGAAAAACTAAATAAAGGTTTAAAAGAACTCTATCGAGGAAAATGGATGAGTTTATTTTATAAAAACACCATGCAAAATTGATTTAATAATTTAGTAAATTTTCTTCGTGACAATCATAACCAGCAATTTTTAGAGCAAACTGTCGGAGAAACTTGAGCCGAAAAAAAGGATAAAATACTAGAAGAACTAGAAAAACAAATGGGTTTAGAAATTGGTAGCAATGAGGAATTTAAAAAGAATTTTTATTTTAATCAGATAACCTGAGACAGAAATGAAACGAATCAGTATCTCCGCAAAATAATTAAGACTATTGAGGAAAGAGAAGCCGACACAGCCGCCGTTAAGGAAATAAAAGAATATTGAAATCAAGCCAGTTTTCAAATGGCAAAACCCGCCGACATTTCAAACATTTTAGGAACCAACTGGGAGCATAAAGAACAAATTAGAAAAAAAAAAGAATTTTTCATTAATGAAATTAGGGCTGAGGAGGCAAAACAATTTTTAGAAAAAGCTCTGGAAATTGCTGAACTGGAAATGTCGGAATTAGAAGGAAACGACTTTATTGCCGAACTGCGCCAAATAGAAAATTCCGAGCAAAAGATAATTAATTTTCGCATTTCAGCATTCAAAGAAATAGTGGAAAAAGGAATCAACAGAGCACTTAAAAACGAAAATCCCCATGTTCCTTATAACAAACTAACTGGCGACCCAAAAAGTAGCATTCTCCAAGAAAATAGCGAACAAGATAAATTAAATGCTTTTGCCGAAACTCTAAGTCAAATTAAAACCAAGCGTCAGAGAGTTGCTGAGGATTTACTGCAAGGATTAATTAACGAAGAAACCCCTAATAACCATAGTGAATTACAAAATTATCTCAACAATTTACAACGATTAATTCCACACAACAACAATGCTGCGAACCGAACAGCCGAAAGAAAAAATTCGGACAATACTGACATAAAACTTAGTGTGCCGCAAATTGAGGCCTATTGAAGCAAAAAAAACGATATTGATAAAAAAGAATTAAAATTAATTCATGCTCTGGCTTTATTTGAGGATGATGAGAATAAATTATGAATTGATACTAACCCGTGTGGCTTGACGATTCAAGAAAAACAAGAACTAGAAAAAGCAACTAAAAATAACATTCAGAAAATAAAAAAAAATATTCGTCAAAATCGTAAAGAAAGGTGAAGTAAAGCCCAAGAAAAGGTTAATAATTATTTGTCATCCCTTAACCATTCCATAAAAGGTATCGACCAGACAGAAATCAGCGAAAATCTAAAAAAGTTAAGAATAATAGTGCGAAGTAAAGATAAACCTGAGGAAATTAAAGCCTTGTCAGTGCTCGGAAACTTACCGGAAAATAGTAATTGGGAAAAGCGAACCCAGAATCGAATTAACGAATTAAAAGCAGAGATTGCCAAGTGAGAGAAAATAAAAAGTGATATTTTGTCCGAAACGGAACTTGACAAATTAGAGAAAGGGGGGTATTGAGATAGCGAAATAGAAAGTTTACGTGAATATTTGCTAACTTCGGACAAACAAAAACGCCCTTTGAAAGACAGACGAAACAAACGGTATGAAGAGTTAGAAAAAATTAATAAATCAATCAAAAAAATGAACGAAACTGAAGTTTGGAAAGAATTAAAAGAACTCTATCAAAAAACTATCGATGAAATCAATAATTTCATGACAACCAGCGAGGGAAGGGAAAAATTGTCCAAAAAAAATTTTGTTGCTTATACTTCTCTCAATCCCCAAAATCTTTTCAACCAAGCAATCAATAAAATCCAAGAATCTATTAGAAATTGCAGTAGTGCAGAAGAAATTGATAACCAACTAGGACCGGCTATCAAGGAACTAGAAAAAGACCTAAATAATAAGATTTATGGACTGAAACTCTGTTATTTCTACTAATCTTTTCTAACCTTTTTCTTTCTTATAATCAATACTGCTATCACTAATCCTGCTAC